CATCACTGCACCCCCATAGCTACACCCATCACTGTACTCCCATCACTGCACCCCCATAGCTACACCCATCCCTGTACTCCCATCACTGCACCACCATAACTACACCCATCCCTGTGCTCCCATCACTGCACCCCCATAACTACACCCATCCCTGTGCTCCCATCCCTGTGCCCCATCACTGCATCCACTCTTTGTTAATTACATTGTCCTCTCCTAAAATGTTTTGCCTTGACTTCTTCACCTGGTGAACTCCTATTCACCTTTCAAGATCCCATGAAAGTAACCATCTCCCTACGCATGCCTCCTTACTCTCAAATGCTAGAGTCATTTTCCCTTCTCCTCCTACACACTTTGTTGATGTCTCTACTACACTATTTATAATACCCTGTCCTAGTTCTACAGGTCACATAGCCACAAATGATAATGATGATGACAACAGCAGTGGTGACATCGCTCATCCCCAGGTCACTTAACCTCAGCCCACTTCTGATTTAAGTCGTGGCTACCGTGGACAGTTCTGTGCAGGCCGAGCCTCGCCTTGCACGGACAGCGTTCCACTTGAAACATGGGTGGACCATGTGACTTTCTATTTTCTGCCCCAGCACCTTCTCCCCTCCATCACAAGTCCCCCTTTTTTTGCTCCAGTGAGACTGGAATTACAGGACAGCAAAATCCGCCAGAAGTAACGTCACCGAAAGGAGAGCTCTGGGAGACACATGCTCCAGCCTCTGGAGGCCGCCTGTCCGCGGCTCAGGAGGCGGGGGGCCCCAGAGGAGCCGGGCTGTCATCACTCATGACAGCAGCCTCAGTAACACAGCCTCATCTTGTCTTTCCCTCCCCTCCCTGCCTTAGGCTCTGCTCTCAGGGGAGCAGACTAAGTCAGCTGGCACTAGAAGGAGACCTAGAAAGCAGACCCCCAATGGGGCTCTGTAACCGCCTCAACTCACCAGCCAGACAGCACCATGTCAGGAAGGCTCTCAGTGGTGGGCAGGGATGTGGTCCAGCTGGAGGGGCAGCGCTGAGGTACGCATTGACCCTTAAACCTCCAAGGTAGAGAGGCAATGGTAATCATAAGGGTTGTGGGTTGGCTGGACATTTTTTTTAAATATATATATATATATATATATATATGTGTGTGTATATATATATATATACATACATATATATGTATGTATATATATATTTTAAACTTTATTGGGGAACAGTGTGTTTTTCCAGGACCCATCAGCTCCAAGTTAAGTAGTTGTCTTCAATCTAGTTGTGGAGGGCGCAGCTGATCTCCAAGTCAAGTCATTGTTTTCAATCCAGTTGTAGAGGGTGCAGCTCACTGGCCCATGTGGGAATCGAACCAGCAACCTTGATATTACAAGCCTGGGCTCTAACCACCTGAACTAACCAGCCGCCCCTGGCTGGACTTGGTTTTAACTGCCTTGGAAACCTTGAAGAAAATAACAGGCTCAGGTCAATCAGCTATCGACACAGAGTAGGCCATGAAAATTAGAAGGCCTCCTGGCAGCTTTTAAAGATAATTTTTTCTCTTTGTCACATCTACTGCAGGGATGAAGACTGTTCTCAGCAATCAGACTGTGGGCATTCCAGAAAATGTGGACATCACTGTGAAGGGACCACAGTTATTGTGAGGGGCCCCCGAGGCACCCTGTAGAGGGACTTCAATCACATCAGTGTAGAACAACTTTCTTTGGAAAAAACAGAAGAGGCTCAGGGTTGACAAACGGTGGGGAGATAGAAAGGAACTGCTCCTGCCCTCGCTATCTGTAGTCATGCACAGACATGACTGTGGGTGTTCCACTGGGTTCTCTTACAAGAAGAGGGCTGTGTGTGCTCACTTCCCCATCAACGTCATTATTCAGGAGAATGGTTCTCTTGCTGAAATCCAAAATTTCTTGGGGGAAAAATACATCCACAGGGTGCAGATGAGGTCAGGTCTCAAGCCCTTTAGAAAGATGAGTTAGTTCTTGAAAGTGACATTGAACTTGTAACAAATTCAGCTGCTTTGATGCAACAATCCACAGCAATTAAAAACAAGGACATCAGAAAATTTGGGGATGGTATCTATGTTTCTGAAAAAGGAACAGTTCAGCAGGCTGATGAATAAGCTCTAAGTTGTCCAGCTACTGAAACACCATGTCGGTTGATTCCTCAGACTTTTGTGATACTTTAAAGATGGAGCAAAAATCATGTATTGAAAAAAAAAAAAAAGGTAATTTTATCTCCTGGAATCATAGTTAGACCATGCTGAAAATTAGACCCAGGATTTAAGCGTAAGAGGGAGAGAGCTACAAAGAAGGTCAAATGTACAGCCTTGGAAGATCACTGCTAAAGTTAGAACCCAGACAAGGAGTGATAAGAACCTGAGACCTGGGATGGAGACATTTGAGAACCATACACACCCAGATTCTCCTCAACTCTTCAAACTAACAGAAACAGCCCTCTCCTTTGTACTAGAGGAGAGGAGACTTGACCTGTGACGTGTGTCTCACGTGAAAATGCTTTTCCTCACCAAGCTCACCCCACTCCAGGCATCGCCCCAAGGCAAGAATGGGGACCAGGTCTCAGCACAGCCGGAACAAGGAAATACAGTCCCTTTGCTGGGAGTAAACGGTTTCTCAGTAAACTAATTGCTTGAGGGGACTAATATGTCCTGGTAGGAACTGAGAAAAACATATGGGGGAGTGGACTGAAGGTCATGGTGAACCTCAGGTGTGGGGCAGAAGATAAGACTGGGTAGGAGAGGACATTTTCACGGCTCAGGGTTTACTGTTCTGAAAGAATGCCTTGGGCTGGTCTCGTATGCTGCAGGGCTGGCTTCTTGAAACTTGGACATGACGGCAGCCTGTAGTAAATGAGATGGAAATGCTAGAATTGCCGTGGCAGAGTACTGATGAAGAGATCAGAAGGTTCGGGGGAGTGGGTCTGTTAGAATAGATTTATTTCCTAGAATAAGGCAACCCGCCATCTGATGATGTTCACCAAGAGTACCCAGAAGCTCCTAGCGAATGGGAGAGTACAGAACGCACTAGTGTAGAGGGCACCAGCGTCTTTGAGAAACCTGATGG